CCCCCACTCCCTCCTCCACTGCCTTTTCTCCCTCCCTCCATCTCTCACTCTCTCTCCCTCACCCTCCATCTATTTGTACCCTCTGCCTCCCTCTCTCCTTCCATCTTTATGTCAATTGCTCTCTTCATCTCTTTCCTACTGTCTTCATTTTTTTACTTTTGGATTTGTCCTTTTTTTTTTTTTTTAAACAGTCCTATTTCTCTTCTCCTCTTCTCTATCCTCTATCATTATTTCCATGTATTTCACTCTTTTCATATATTTTTATTTCACATGTCTCTATCTCTCTCTATTTTTAAATTTATATTACATTTTTTGTTTCATTAACAGCTGGAAATCTTGAAGGTCGGAGAGGAAAGCAGAGAAGAACATAGTACTACCTCTCTCTATGAGATAACACATATAAAATCAAACAATCTTTTCAAACAGATGAAAGCAATGACAGAAAAAATTTCAAGGATAGAGAAAAAAAATTGAAATTTTAGGCGTCAAAGTGGATACTCTATTACAAAATAAAAATATTTGACAATTAAATGTTATATTAATAGGTTTAAAAAAAGTTACATTGTTTGATATGTGCATTTATACAAAAGCTATCGGAAAATAATCTGGAACAGCTGGCATGTCATGGCAACCAATAAAATATTTTCCTCATTTAATACATACAAAATAGGGACAGAGGCATATTGGTTGCCATGAACTACAGCTCTGGAAGCTGCCCCCCCTACTAACTAAACTGCACAACTAAGAATGGCACAACTAAAAACTGCTACATTTGTGCTGTTTTGTGCCGCAAAAATTAACATTTGTGCTGCCTTTATTTTTAAGATAATAGCACATTTTGTTTGAAGATGGTGACATTACCCAGCCCCCTAGAAAAGACATGAAACTGGGATAGTTGGTTAGTGGTACATTTGTGCTGGTTTGTGCCGTTTAAACTCCATTCTATCTCCTTTCGTTTTTTAGTTATTAACTATTTATTCAGGATCACCCAGCACCCCTAAATCAGCCAAGATTTACGGAACAGTTTGTGCTGTTTTGTGCTTAAAAAATGTACATATGTGCTGCTTTAATTTTGAAGATAACCTTTGGTGACCTATAATTGCTATTATCTTAAAAATAATCAGCACAAATGTTAATTTTTACAGCACAAATGTGGCACTAGCCAACCAGCAAGTTTCCTGTCTTTTGATGGGGGGCTGTGGGACCTTTAAAAAACAGTTACTCAAAAACGAAAATAAAATATTATTATTATTATACATGATTTATATAGCGCCAACAGTTTGCGCAGCGCTTTAAAATAGAGAGTGAAATGGCACAAACCAGCACAAACATGGCACTAACTATCCAGCCCGGTTACACGTCTTTGTGCTGTTGTAGGGGGGCTGGGTGATGTCATCATTTGCAAAAAACTAAATTCATATCATCTTAAAAGTAAAATCAGCACAAATGTTAATTTTTGCGGCACAAAACAACACAAACTTTTAGTTGTGCTGATTGTTGTTTTTCATAAGTAAGAAGGTGTTAGGATTAGAGCTGCAGCTAACGATTATTTTCAAAATCGATTAGTTAGCCGATTATTAAGTTCGATTAATCGGATAAACAATAAAATACATTTTAAAAAATGGCTCCAGTGATGGACTACTAGTTTGTATTAAGGTTGTAGTCCATCACAGGAGCAAGCTTGGAGCGGTGGAAGTAAAAAAATGGTGTGGTGTGCAATATAGTGAAATGGAAAGTGTAAAATTATACAGCAATGAATGCAGAATGGCATCGGCTATAGAGGACTACAAATCCCAGCTATAGTACATTATACAGCGCAATGCAGAATATCACCAACTATAGAGGAGTACAACAAATCCCAGCAATAGTACATTATAGCTGGCGGTATTCTGCATTGCGCTGTATAATGTACTGTTGCTGGGTTTTGTAGTCCTCTATAGCTAGTGGTACTCGGCATTGCACCACTGTATAATGTACTATTGCTGTGCTCCTCTATAGCTGGTGGTATTCTGCATTGCGCTGTATAATGTATTATTGCTGGGATTTGTAGTCCTCTATACAGCACAGTGCAGAATATGACCAACTATTGAGGAGTACAACAAATCCTAGCAATACATTATACATACTCTGTGCCAATCGTGGATGTGGGCGGGCGGTGAGTGTGAGGCGCGAAGGAGGTGCAGCGTGTAGAGCACGGATGCGGGGGTTCTGGCACCAGTGAGCGTGAGTTGGGGAGGAGGTGCGGCGCGCAGCGTTTGTGGACTCGTGAACAGGGCCAACTGATCGGAAGCCGATTATTCGATTATTGAAAAAGTTGACAACTTTTTCAATAATCAGTTATAATCGATTATGTCGATTAGTTGTTGCAGCCCTAGTTAGGATAGAAAGAACTGATGCAGCTTGGCATGAAGCACTTTATTGAGAATAATCAATTGTACAGGAGAATAACCCAAAAATTAGATACACACATATCTCCTGCTTTAACATCAATGAACAACTAAAGTCAACGGTGAAATCATAACAAAAAAAAAAAACCAGGGCTGTACAAACCTTGTAGAAACATGAATACACCTGAAGAAAAGATATGAAAGCACCGAGCTCTGGTAAGACTACACCGATATGAAAGAGTGCACACATCATCACCTGTTATAATTAATAAAATGTAATTACATACTTTTTCATTAAGTTTTTTCATTGGAACACTCTTAAATAAACCATAGTACATTTTTATTAGGGGAGATTTGGGTGACACTAGATAAAGCTACATTGATGATAAGAGAGGGCAATCAAATGTTAACATTTAAAAAAAATAAGGATTTGATACTAAGATACATAATGGAATTTGAAGACATATTTAAAAAGGCTATGATAATTTTTTTAAATTTTTTACCTGCACACATGGCCTCGTCTGCCGCCGGACCAGCCAGAAGTGACGTCACGGCCAGTCCGACATCAGACGAGCAGCGTCGCTGATGGGGCCCTGTCTCAAAGCTGCTGGAGCGGCAATGTTGGGGCCCTGTGCTGTCGGCCTCGCCCTTCACCGTCGGCCGATAATCATGTAAGGGACCAGGGTGGGCCCCCCAGGCTCGGCCGTATCGGCCGTACCCCCCTGATGGCTGCCCTGGCAGCAACTCAGCTAGAGCATGCTGAAGTCGCCAACTGTCTGCAGAGTCAATAGCTACAGACCTCCAAACTTCGTGTGGCTGTCAGATTGGCACAACAACAGTGCATAGAGAGCTCCATGGCATGGGTTTCCATAGCCGACCAGCTGCATCCAAGCCTTACATCACCAAGTGTAATGCAAATGTCGGATGCAGTGGTGTAAAGCACGCCGCCACTGCATCCATAGAGAAGTTGAGACGTGTTCTCTGGAGTGACGAATCACACTTCTCTGTCTGGCAATCCACTGGACGTGTCTGGGTTTGGTGGATGCCAGGAGAACGGTACTTGCCTGAATGCATTGTGCCAAGTGTAAAGTTTGGTGTAGGGGGAATTATGGTGTGGGGTTGTTTTTCAGGCCCCTTAGTTCCAGTGATGGGAATTCTTAAAGGAGAACTATGGGGTCAGTGTTTTTCCCCAAAGTTCTCCTTAGGGTAACGGGAGGACACAAACTAGCGTCCTCCCGTTACCCTAAGCTCAGTATACCGCGAGCTACAGCTCGCGGTATACTGAGACGCCGGAGCGGATCCCGACGTAGATGACGGGATCCGCCCAGCTGCGTGAGTGACAGTTGGCTCTGCCTATCTAGAGGCAGAGCCAGCTGTACCCGCCCCCTCCCCCGTCCGTTCCGCCAGTCAGCGCTGGCAGATCGGAGCGGGGAGTCCAGCCCCTCCTCCTGTCACGTCAGAGAGCCGTGACAGGATCGAGAGGCGAGCGAACCCGCTATGTGTTCGCTCACCTCCCGATCTACTGAGCCGACCTGTGACAGTCTCATTGTCACAGGTCGGCTAGAACTATGAGGTGAGTGAAAAGCATTCACCTCATAGTTCTCCTTTAAGGCATCAGCATACCAAGACATTTTTGACAATTTCATGCTCCCGACTTTATGGGAACAGTTTGGGGATGGCCCCTTCCTTTTCCAACATGACTGCGCACCAGTGCAAAAAGCAAGGTCCATAAAGACATGGATGAGCGAGTTTGGGATGGAGAAACTTGACTGGCCTGTACAGTGTCCTGACCTCAACCGGATAGAAATCCTTTGGGATGAATTAGAGCGGAGACTGCAAGCCAAGGGTTTTTTTTTTAGCTTAGGAGAGACCGCTGCGTGTAAATAAAACCGCAGATATATTCCAAAAAACAACTGATAGAACGAACATACGCAACTTGGACGCATCACATCTACAGTCACAAATAGGGGGAAAAAATGGAGTAGTGCAACCTTACCGGAGAATATCAATACCCGCATCACATTTTGAAGTTGCGACATCAGAAATGTATCACAACTGCGTTAATAAATTCCCCCCACTGCGGGGGGAATTTATCAAAACTGGAGCAGATGGAATCTGGAGCAGATGACCATGGCAACCAATCAGCTTCTATCTTCAGTTTGTTCAGTCAAGATTTGAAAACGAAACAGAGAAGCTTATTGGTTGCCATGCACCGCTGCTCCAGTTTTGATAAATCCCCCTCACATTATAAAACACAATACAAAGTAAACACGCACAGAATGCAGAACATTGCACTGCCATGTTATTGAGTGACGTGCAAAATCTGCCACCGAACGCCATCTGTCGTTACATTATATCAGCGGTCACCAGTGCCAAATCCTGAGCAGCCGACATGCTTCTGACCTGTCTCTAGGAAAAACCTACATAAGTTCCCGAGCTCAGAAGGAAGTTCTCACCATCCAACCTTTGACTGTCAGATGTATCGTCACAATAGTAGTGGATACGTCACATTCCAGAACCGCATGTATGCCGGGATTCGTAGTTTCATTCGTTGCAGTTAGAGGCACTGTGAGTGAGCGCACAACTACACTTCCCAGATGTCCCCGCGGTCAATGCGCTCCATAGTTGATGTCCTGTTTCCCCGGCAGATGGTGGCTGTGGCCGTGCACAGTGTCATCGCCAGCAGTTTAAGAGGATGAACTGAGCCGGGTCAGCAATGTTCGGGAGGTCTAGAAGCTGGGTGAGCGGCTCTGGCCGGTCCGGATCTAGTATTCATTCCCTGGACAGACTGAAGTAAGTGTGTGGAAAAGGAGTTCAGCTGTTACACCAGGTCACTTCTCTGGTTATCTGCTGAGCCTTCCTGATCTCTTCTGTTAATTTGAAATCGGCTTATCTTGCTGACCGGTGACATATCTGTGTCAGAGCAAGCAGATCTGCCTTTGTCAATGCTGCTAGAAGCTAACTCTGCTATGGAGCTTTGTCTAAGGCTTACCATACATATTACAATTTTACCATACAATCTTTGCACAATCACCTTTAGATTTACCATATCTATGTAATTTGGACTATCCAATCAATTTTTATTCAGGCAGACCCTTGCTAACATAGTTGTTGATACATCTAAAGCCTTGGTTCTCAACTGGTGGGCCGTGACCCAAAAGTGGGTCGCGACCCCATGTTCAGTGGGTCGCCGCGTGCCTTCCACTTTTCTAGGTGAGAGGCTCCTCTGCCTCCCCCTAGCGCAGCACTGTCAGTTCTCGTGCCAACAGCCATTCAAAATATGCTGCCCGGCGCCGAGTGTCAGCTTGAGGTGGGATGTGCAGAGGCTATGGCCGCGAGGGAGCTTCATCCATACGTGCATTGCTTACAGCTCCCTCGTGTGCCCTGTAGAGGTGCCTGGACCGGAGTGACATCACATTCTGGCTCCCGGAACCTCTACAGGGCACACAAGGGAATTGTAGAAGCAATGCACATATGAATGGAGCTCCATCACAGCACAGCAGCCCACATTAGACCCCCCAGGCTAAGGATCCACTCCAGTTCTTGTAAGGTAGGGAGACTGGGTGGATCTTAAAAGAAAAAGAAAAACAAATGTTTTTTTTGGGAGTGTATATGTGTGTGTGAGAGAATGTCTGTGAGTGTGAGAGATTGTGTCTGTGTGTGTATATGTCAGTGTTTTGAGACCCTCTTCACACTAGTACAATTAACGAAATGTACCAAGCAATTGCACCAACCGTGCATTCTGGTGCGGAAGGCGTGTTGCTTTGCCATTCATTTGATAGGTACCCCAAACGCACTTCCCACCCACAGTTCGTAAGCCCACAATGGAACGTGCAGTACCCTAATGCCGTGCGTTACATTTCAGTGTGACTTGGGTCGCAACTTAATGACCAAGGACAAATGTGGGTTCTGAGGTTACACAGGTTGAGAACCACTGATCTAAAGGACATTGTATAATTAGGTTGTAATGCAGGGATCCCAACCTGAAATAAGGGAGGTGCACTTCTCATTTCAGGGAGTTGCCCTCTGTCACCCCCCTCCCCTCTCCATGGGGGGGGGGGGTGTGCAGCAATGAGGAAGAGAGAACACCCCTGAAATGTGTTCTGACAGCTGCTGCCGTTAGGACAAAAAAAATGGCATAGGAACTAATAGGTGGTTTGCTATTTGCTATTACAATTTGCAATAGCCAATAGATAGCTGGCTATTGCACCCGCCCTCTTTGGGTGCAATCGCCGACGGCCCCCAATGTCAGAAAAAAAAAAGAAATCCAGACCGCACGGAAAGGTTTACTCTGCTAGAACCAGGAGAGTAAACCTTTCCGGGTGAAAATGTTTCTCTCCGGGTGTCCGGGAGCCGATATCTAATAGCAGGAGACTCCCGGAACATCTGGGAGAATTGAGATGTCTGGTAATGTTAGAATTTTGCTTGTTCAGGAAAAAAATGCTGTCCCACTCCTTTTGATTTCTTTACATCACTAGGGTTGAAAGTGATCGTTGATTCGACCCCATTAAATGTAAAATTGAATGAACGTTCCGAAAATGATTTTTTTTTTTTTTTTCATCAACGCTCTACTGGTGTATGGCCAGCTGTAGGCTCACTTTCAGGGTTATTCACAAAGCTGCTGAAGGCAGCTGAGTGAATAACCCAGCCGAAGTGAAGTGAGCCGAATGCTGTTCGGCTATTCAGTTCTGCTAGGTACGGCTGATTTCAGTTCAGCCGTACGTCGGCTGTCTTCACCTTCGGTGAGCCGAAGTGCAGAAGTAGATCGGCTGAGCCGAAGCTCCGGCAGCTCACTCGCTGCTGTTCGCCCCTATTCTCATAGAGGCTGAACGGCAGTAGGTGATTAGCCGAATGCCACTGAGGTACCAAGCAGAATAGAAAATAAGTAAAAATTAAAGTTGAAAAATTGTATTAAAATGTATGAAAATTAAAATAGTTTAAAGAAAAAAAAGAAAAAGAAAATGAAAAATAATAAAAAAAGACGGCAAAGATGCCAGCAAAAGAAAAACAATTGGGCGGAGCTAGCAGTGGCAGCTAGCTTCACCCAACTGTTTCCTATTGGCCGGCACCTGCTAGAGTCTTCTAGCAGGTCCCGACCAGTGAATAACAACTGGCTGGAGCTGGCCGTGATGTCACGGCTGACTCCGCCCAGCTGTTGATGTTTAATGACAGATCAGCGTCCCCAGGCCATTTGGGGACACTGATCTGTCATTACAACTGGCCAGAGCCAGCTGTGAGATCACAGCTGGCTCTGCCCTGCTGTCATTTGCGGGGCGATTGGCTGGCCTTCGCCCCTCTTCGTCTGTCACTTCGGCTCAGTGGAGCCAAAGCGTATGCCTTCGGCCCAGCTGAGCCGCTCGGCCGCCTTCTTCTGCTGTACAGGTTATTGTGAATAGCCCATACAGCAGCCCTTCGGTTCGACTGAACTGAAGGGCTCCAGCGGCCGAAGAGAGCCGAAGGATCAGTCGAAGCTATGGCTGTATCCTTTGGCTCAATAGTGAATAATCCCCTTTGTAACAGGTCTACCAATTTTCAGGCTCAGAGCATCTGAGTGACTATAGTCAAAGGGGAGATAAATGTGGCAGTTATCAGAAGTTATTAGCAACATGCATGCATGTATATGCATGTGCCCCATTGCTGTGGGTGCATGCATCTGCCCTGACGCTGTGAGTGCCTGGGTAAAGATTTAGAACCACTTTAAGGTTCTTAATCTGACAACTATCTGACTAATTGTCTTCTAACATACCGTCACAGTGGTAACAGTTTCATTGGACAGGAAATTAGGTTAAAATCTGCAATTGGTACCCAGATTGCAATAAAAAAAAAACCTGACTGGGGTTCTAGCCATCCTCTACACTACTAAAAAATGCATTTTTACTTCTATAATGTTTTTGCATATATAATATTTTAATTTACCGGTACTACACAAGCCTTTTTGTAATGTATTAACAAATTACCTTTCTAGCTTAGTCTGCAATCCGCATTCATTTTTACAAGCTTTCAAAAATGTAAACATGGCTTCCTTGTAAAGGGATATTTAATACTTTTGGAGTTTTATTTATTTATACGATTGTTTTTAAACTACACAACATAATAAAACATTTTTTTTAAATAAATAATTTACTGAAAGTTTAGCACAGCAATATCTTTTATCCAATGCTAGCTACTAGCAAAGTGTGCCCGTACGGCCTTCTGGAATGCAAAACATAAGCTACAGTAAGATGGCTGTGTGAGTGTTGGAGCAGGGAGGCACGTGTAGAGTGTTGATGGGGTGCACGAATAGAGGCATTTATTAATTCTGTTGCATGAACAGGAGCAGTGAGACAGATTGTGTGACAGACTTGCTACAAGGTTATAGACGGGTAAGATGCACACACCATGACAGAACCAGACACACGCACAGAGACAGTGTCAAGGCAAGACACCTGTGCATTGAACGGCATCAAGACCAGATGCGCATGCACAGATGGAGGGAGTCAAAGCCAGATATGTGCACATGTACAACGTCAAATCAGACACGTGCTCTCATTGCAGGCATATTTTAAAAATTTCCCATTCCTGTGAATATCAGGCACCTCCAGCTGTCTGCATGCTGCATTTTATTTCCTGTGTAGCACCCAAAAACCTGGGGCACTCTGTAATGCAAGTATTGATCAGCTTCCGTGATCCTTGGTTTTGACCTTGCTCCCTCCCACCTCATGCTCCTTACCGTAGCATATTGTTACATATAGTTACATTGTTGTTAAGGATGAATGAAGACACAGGTCCATCCAGTTCAACCTATAGTGTGGAAAATAATTATTTGATCCCCTGCAGATTTTGTAAGTTTGCCCACTTACAAAGAAATGGGCAAATGTATCTATCATATATCAATTTTATCATAGGTGTATTTTAAATGATAGAGACAGAATATGAACCAAAAATCCAGAAAACACACATGATACAAATGTTATAAATTGAGTTGCAGTTCAGTGAGTAAAAAAAGTATTTGATCCCCAAGCAAAACATGACTTAGTACTTGGTGGAGAAACCCTTGTTGGCAAGCACAGAGGTAAGACGTTTCTCAGGAGGGATTTTGTTCCACTCTTCTTTACAGATCTTCTCTAAATCCTTATGGTTTCTTTGGCTGCTACTTGCCAACTATCACTTACCTAGTGGAGGACCGATTGGCTTGCGACTCTTGTCTCACACCCCTGGGAGAGGGAACCATGGGTGCCGAGGTGTTCAGACACGGTGCCTGGTAGAAGTCCGGCCACTAT